TTAAACGGTAAAAAAATGGTATCGCCTACAAATAAATATTATAGATCTATACACTGGAATACTTTGACGGAGTAACGTCATGATCGTCCTATCAATAGGGAGACAAAGGAAAACGCAATAGACTTACACTCGGGGAGAGAAAGCGCGGCCCGCAGGGACGACTGTACAGCAGCCTCGATAGTTTTGGTCTCGATAGTTTAAAACCAAACGAGAAAGCCCAAGGATACATTGTTCCCATTCCCTCACTCGTTAGGCTAGCCCTTCCGCCATTCCTATCTAGAATCCTAAGAGAAATCGCGAAACGAGAAGGCTCGGGCCTTGCTCGCCCATGAAAATTGAGACTCTGGATCGTCAAGCGAACACAACACATGATGCTTACCAATACACACTAAGTTCGAGATCAGAGATTACGTTACGTTACGTTACGTCGCGCACAACAGAACAGTAAAGAACTGTCGTCGATAAACATGGAATTGCGAAGCAGGGAAGTGAAACGGAGGGGATCTTCTTAGAAGATTGAGGATAGGTGAGTTAGAGCAAGAGAATCGATAGACAGTTTTTGTCGATAGAAGAAAGAAGATAGAAACGGGAAAGAAGGAAAGAGAAAATAGGAGTTAGAAAGGGCACAGAGGAAAGAAGGAGATATATTCCTTCCGATGTGCCGCGAAAGGCATCTCGCATGTCACGAGGGTGCCTACTAATAGCTAAGCTACCGGAGATCATTTGAAAACTGTCCACGGGAGTCGCAGCTAGCCAATCAAGATGCTGCGATCCTCGGCCTATCGATTATCTACTTTAATTATTATAACATCGACTTATTACTGAGTTTTTATTACTTTAGATAAATCCTCTATGCATATACAAGTTTGCTCCCCTATCTCCACCTTACGTCCTCGTTCGTCCCCTATCCTCTTTAACATTTTTGGAATCATCATCCCTCTCGACGTCTCTTTATATACATACATTCCGCACGCGCATTGTAGATGATGTTTGGCGAGGTCGATCGATTATATTATAATAAACTGTAAATCGATTGTAGTTCAGATAAAACAGATCTATTAGTTAGGCCCGTGACATTGTCAAAATTAAAAATCTTCTTTATCTCTTTTCAAAGAAATATATATATATATATTCGATAAACGAGCTTCGCGCGAAACATCATCGTAGCGCGGCGTCGTTAAAGAAATCTTGAACAAGAATTGCTCCGTCGACCACTATCGGTCGGGAAATTGCGTTATCTACAAGCCACATACCGAAGAGTAGTCTTTCTATCTTGGCGAGATCAAGAGAGGGACGGACGCGCGAAGAGAAGACAGAGAATTGGGGGCGTGTGGTCCGCCCTCTCTCGCTCCCATATAATCACACTACTTTATTTAATTCTCTTTATTTATCCGTAATGAGATCATCATTTGATTATTGGGTTTAATCCTCTTTGGATCTCGTCCTTAGTTTCCTCCGTCACCCTTAATACCTCCCTCCTCGTATCTCGGGTCCGATCGCCACATAATACGCAATTCGATTATTCTCACCCGGGTTATCTTCCCCTCTGTCCCCGCAAAAATGCTAGTTCCCGTTCTTCGCCCCTTTGCCTACGAATTCGCAGGATGAACTATCGGCACGAACGAACAGCGCTACGTACGAAAATAACTCCTGCATCGCGCGAGAATGCACTTGTACTTCGACGTCGCTGTCCCATCGTCGCTAACCCTCGCTTCGTCATCCGCGGCAATCACAGTCACAATTTATCGACAGCACGCAATTCTTGACAAACAGCAATGAAGCAAATAGACAGGATGATCGATTCTCTTGTCGACATCGGTTTAATCAATAGATAGGTAATATTTAAGAACTTTTTTTGGAATCAACCTTCCCCCTTAAAGATCTTTTTACATAAAATACCCGTTCGTCCCCGAGGAGGGATGAAAAGGCATATAGTAGAGAGCAACTATGACTCATCAATTCAATCATTATTATCATTATCAATTATCACAATCATCAGTATAAAAATTATTATAAAATCAAACCACTATCATCATTATTAATTACAATTATTAATTATCAACTACTAAATAAATCATAATACATAATCAATTATCAATTATCAAATTAATCAATTAATTAGAATCATCAATTATAAGGAAATCAGAAGCACGCCGCAGAAGCAAATAATTATCACTACTTTCATCGTCATGATCAAAAGTTATCAAATTTTATTTGCAGTCGCATGGTCCCTCAGGAACCGATCAAAGTCGATCAAGCGCATTCTCGCGTAATCGCGCAACGCAAGCGCGAAATACAAAGATAGTATAAAATTACAATCGTATTATCGGAGTGGATGTTCAATAAAAGAACGTTTCGTCTTCTCGACGCGCTCTACCTCAATTAAATCCATCATCCGATGATATAGAGAGATCCAGAGTACGCGCCGTGGACTACCTCTTCTCCTCTTCCTTCTTCTCCTCTCGAAACGATCCGTCTAGAGGATTCCATACAGGATTGTCCGCAATCGCAGACAAGGAAAGAAGTGCTGGCGGTCCATCCGTTTTTTTCTAATTGTAATCCCCAATATCACCGTTCTAATCGTCGACACAATCGACGAGCCCGTAGGATTACCCAGAACGGTTGGACGAAACCGGCGCATCTATCGTAGGCGGGAGACAAGTCTCCAGCCGAGGTATAGAGCCACCGTTGCCCAAAGGGTCTCTCGTAACGGCGTCGGAATCAACAGCGACAGCAGGCTATCGGTGGATGACGAGTTGCTGTTGCGACCGTTCAGACCTGGACCGATCACCGGTAGCGTCGATTTCTCGATCTCGGCGTCCTGCAACAATAAGCAGCGACATTCATCGCTCAGTATTGTCTGATACCTTTGTTCAATTCTAACAGAATGAAATGTTATTAACGTTCAATATTTGAAAGTATATTGATAATCAATTATTTCAATTAATTTTAATTCTCCGCCGACAACAACGTATTTTTATGGAGAGTAGTTTACGAGTGTAAGATAGAAAAAAAATGTATTCAATATTGATGACAAAGTACATAGATAAAATAAAATAGACTTAATAACGATTAGATTGCAATACCGTTAATGTATGTCTCTGTGAAAATGGATATTTAAACGGTATATGAAGACTTCTCCGATATTCTCGCGAAGATTTGGCGAAGGCGACCTGTCGTAAGTTTCTCCTCGTAGTAGTAGATTCGAAGAATGGTATGGGAAGGAACAACGATCGTGCGAGGTTAAGGTTCCTAATTGGGAGTGTCCTAATTGGACGAAATTACCGACGATCCGGCACTCTCTTGTGGCTAAGTCTTCAACGAAAAGAAAAAAAAAAGGAGGAAAACGCGACGCTTTATCGAGTCCCTTTACTCCGACGAATTTACACGGAGGAGAACGACGACAGCGTTGTAAGAGGGGAAATATCGCGTCGCTAAAGTCTACAACGTCTCTCAGATTCTCTGTTTTCTTTACGAAAACCGTTTCTCCTGCGCAACCATTCGCGACCCGGAAAAAAGGTTCAATTAAAGCTTGCTTATTAACGACACTAATTACCCAATTAACTTCCATTCCGTTGCACTGAATATCGACGACTGAATATCTACTGGTATTGGTGAAGTCGCCGCATCCGCAGTGCAGGTTTTCGTGCTGAGAATCGTATAAATCGCTCGCGCGCAAAAAGGAATTCTGTTAGGATGTATTTATAAACGATACTTATTACCCAATTAGTTCGTGATACTTTCGGATAAGGCCGGTGTAATGATTCCGCGTATTAGCTGGATCGCAAGAATTCTCTGTTAAAACAAAAAGACATGCGAAATCCTTCCATGCAAGACGCCTTGTACAAATTTCTTGCAAATTTGTTTGCAATAATACTCGTAATAATACTCGCAATAATACTCGTAAAAATTTATTATTCATACAGAAAGTCTTCTTTTACCATCGGTTCAATTTGTAATTTATAATTTGATGCAGGTTAACACGTAAATTTACACCGAAATAATTCGATGTATTTTTTGTACAGATATAATTTTTCTCGAGCAAAATATAATACAAGAAACGCATAAAAAATCCATTATATTGACCTAGCTAAAGTCTGAGAAAATTATATAAATATATAAATCGCAAATCTTGATAGCACGCTCTTGTAATATCTTGCGTGAAAGAACGATCTCCTGCCGCAGAACGATTAACTCCAGAGGGTTCCCTTTCTTTCTCCATTCTACTCGCCTTCCGTCAACGTTATCTCAGCTTCGACCCGCGACTTCCGATTCCCGTCTCGTCTTAATCCACTCGCCGTGACCGGACGTGCAATAATAAACGCCCGGGGAAAGCCCAATCACCAAGGCGGTGAGCTTTTATGGGATGACCATAATAAGGCCAGTGTTTGACCCTACGAAAGAAGAAGAGAGAAAGAGAAGGAAAGGGAGGGAAAGAGAATACATGTTCTCTCACACCCTTGCAATCACGCACGGGAAAAAAACATTCGATTCGTCGTTGGCGCGTATAACCGCGAGAGGAAAGATTATCTTGGATGTGGATAGGGCGGAAAGTAAGAGGAGTAGACGAGAACGTCACATTAAGGGAGAATTATGTGGGAGGGCGCGAAAGTGCTGCTTGTGGGAGCGTTCTGCTCGTCAATTAATAGTGTCCCTTCCTCGCCGCGGAATCGCGCTTTGACGACTGACACTGGGGTGAGTAGTTAGTCGCTGCGAAGGGCGAAGGGACATGATCAACGTTCGTTAATGTCTAATGCGTACGAGGATCTCCGATCGGCCACCTGCGACAGTAACCGAGACCACGAGATGGACTTTCTCTCTTCGCGGACGTGTCGTTAGCTTCTACATGTATGAACAGCCACAGAGATATCGCCGTTTTATAACCCTGCAGTCCGGAAGAGAACGCACGTTCAAGCAATACGGTTGGCTACACGTCCTTCGTGTGCAAATAGAAAACTATTTTATTTTATATCAAAACTATTTTGTAGAAAGCGAAATACGAGAAGTGTCTCTTGTCGATAAGATTAAATCGATAAGATTAAATTTACATGAAATGTTTTTTTAATTAGTATTTTAAAACGAGAGAGGAAATATCGCGATATATCCTTTTATACATTTTTTATATGCGTTCAATAAATGCCAGAGATATATGGTATACTATATATACTATGTATGTAAATTAAAATACGCGGTATTGTACGTTCACAGAAAGAAAAGCGAGAATTGCGTCACAATACATGAGTCAATTTTCCAGATTCGAAAAAAAAAAAAAAAGGAAAACGAGATCGGCTATCAATGATAGTAAAAACATTTCATGCACAAAAGAAAATCACTGCGGTCAAAAGTATACGAAAATACATGAATGCAGATTAGAAAGCAAATTGCAGAAAAGACGCAACGCACTCTGCTTTATGACGAATGAATCGTAAAATGTAAATTTCCCCATGATTTCCCGTATTGCTGACCGCAACCAATTCTTCAATATGCATCGCGAAAGGAAAATCAATATATTGCATTTCCGCGCTTAGCGAAGCCATCGATACGTTTGCTACACCGGCAAAAACATCAAAGAAAAACAGACAGACAATTGGAGAATAAAGTAAGAACTCCCGCACGCCTGTCTCTCAGTTTATGCATCGCGCAATCCCGAAATAAATCAATTTACGAGCGGTGGGATAATCACTGCGCCTATGAATCAAGCGTATAGCGCTCGCGGCGATTTATCGCGAATTGTCGGTCGACTGGAAAAAAAAAAAATATCGACAATTACGCACGAGCGGCTTTCGCGAGAGTATGCGATGCGAGCGATTAAACTAAACGCTCCTCTAATCCTCTCACTCTTTCTTTTTCCATCCTCGTTCCACCATCGTCGAGGACTTGCGCCGCGGCATGATAGAAAAGGCTTACGAGCGTGCGCCGCGCGCGACTACTGGCAAGATAGATTATTGTGCAACGTAATTGCGCGGTTTGCCGTGGAAACGGCCAATCGCCCGGTTCTAAGGTTTCGCCGCGAAGATTAAGTAAGAAAAAGCCGATGGAAAACAGAAGTTGCGGTGCAACACCGCTCATGCGCTCTCCAGTCTCCACAGCCATCGTCGTTAAAACAAGCTACGCGATACAACGGTCGACGATAGTAAAAGTGCTGTCGCGAGAATCAAATGCACGCGGAAAAAAGCATGTTACGCTCGACTGTTTGGTCAATCTTATTTCTTGAAAGATCAATCTCGCTTTCAAAAGTAGATAAACAATTAACTTCTCATTAGAACTGTTAATATTGTTGCTTACGGCCGATAATAACTAATAATTAAACGTCGATCATTGCTAATTAATACAGCTATACTTGCATACATGGTAACTAGTTGCAGTTTGCAGTTACCGTCATATTCCAGAAATTATTCGCGACTTTCACTATTTTTCACGAGGCAGTTGCTTATCAAGCGAATCGTTATTACTATTACAGGTGTCTCGTTAAAGAGATGTATGAGTATTATATAAATTATCGCTGCCTCGTGGAGCGAAATCGCACAGGCGTGGTGCGATAATAATTTTCCCGTTTCCAATAAAACGAGGGAACGGCAAGCAGGAATTTCCGCGAGTGCTGCGCATGACAAAGCGTTATAAATTTGCACGCAGTGGTGCAGCCATGTTCCGCGAGAGGAATAGCGAGAGTGCGGCGTCGCAGGTACATACATATCTATCAGCGAAGGTGAAAATAAGACGTAAACGAGAGTTCGCGTGAAACGAGCATAGGCTACGGTCCGAAGAACTATCGATTTTCTTGTATCGGATCTCTTCCTCCTCCTCCCTCTTTTAGCAGTGGTTCGACATGCTTTGCCCTCAACTTGCGCCGTCGCAAAAAGATCCGTTATCTCGCTGCGCAATGAAGTTATACTAATGTATCAATTTGCGCGTCGGTCAGATCGTTTAAACGACTACAGATAAATGTCAGACGAGCACGCGTTTCGTCACGAGATCCGTCGCAGACGCGTGTATGTATGTTAATCCGTGAAGTAGTATATTTCTTGTCGAGTACGCGGAAATTAGATCGAATCATTTAGGAGCTTCTAAACTAAAATTTCGACAAGCAAGAATCTAACGTGTTCGTGAGTAATGAGATTTTGTAGAGTGTACGCAGTATCGGCATATGCCCTCACGGGAAATTGCCTGACTTCAATTTTCCAAGCGATACACGAGGAGTCGGCTATTTCGCTGTTTCTGACACATCGAAGTACTATATTCCGTGTTTTACGAGCGCGGCCACTCACCCATAATCCTGTATTACATAGAAACGCGAGTTACCAGGTGTATAACCCTCTCTATCCGGAGGTCAACGAAAACATGACGAGAACGCGTATAGCTATTCGATTACCGTGCAGGTATAAAAGTGACGATCGGCCAAAAGGCTAATCGAAAGAGTGAGATAGACAAATCGCGGTGAGGTAGGAGTGAACAGGCGGAGGGCGGAGGAGGAGAGCTCCGATTGCACGAGATAATTGAAGATAATTTTCTCGGCCCGTGGCCACGGCTCGTGCTGCCATGCCCACTTAACTTTCACGTAAGGGGATGTGGCCACTTAGCCGCTACATGCTCGCTTACTCTCCATGCATATGTAAAGCACCGTGCCATCAGTAGTTTCCCGTGACCATTGCGCGCAGAGGGGCATGGGAGACGAGATCGTTTCCGTGACGTATTTCCGGAAATCTGCGAAAAGCTCGTTAGACATGTTAGAAAAGGCGCAATTCGATGGCGAGTATTTTGAGAACTATTTCTACGTATTTAGAATATAATTCACTTTAGTGTTAAATAAAATTTTTCGTGAAAAGCAAATTACTTTTATTGTGTATGTTACTGAATGATGAAATAATTAAATTTCAACGTAAATTTTTTTTAAGATGATATATGTGACGAGATGTCATTAGTTACAATATTAGTACGATCTTTTGATCCGCGAACGATGTTGCTAATGTGGTATTAATTTGACATTTCAATTTCTTCGAGCGCGCGAAGAAGAGAAAAGCGTGAAGCCGATCCTCTAGGAAATCCTCTATCCGTATTATCAACAAAACGCTCCTCGAATTACCAAGTCGAGGAACTGATCGGTATCGGATCTTCTACGAACAGGCGAGACGAAGAGATTTCTTCAATTTCACGAGTCTGTTCGCCCCCTCTTCAATTACTGGCACTTAACCAGCAATAATTAGACGTTCCGGGATTGGATATCACGCCGGTGGACCTTTAAAGTGGATAAAAGCGAGGCGGAATAAAGAGAAATGGCTCTTTCCACCTTGTTCCTCTTACTATCTTTCTCCCCATCTACTTTCTCTTCTTCTTATTTTTCCTATTAGTGTCTCATCCTGCTGCCATTCACTTTCTTTCAATCCGCAACCGCAAATAAGAGTCATTGTAAAACCGAGGGGAATTTTCTCGTTCATCGATACATATTTGATTGAACTACCCTCCGTAGTCTTTTCAACGAAGGAATGGATATCTCATAACTGTCGCGACAATAATCAGAAACTTTTTGCATTAGTTATGCTCGTTTCTTTTACGTATTACAGAGAGTCGGATGAAACTCAGCATATTGATCGCGCAATATGTTTGTCTTGACTAATAATAGACAACAAAATTGCATTCATAATTGGATAATTGGCGTTTGAAATTTAAATATTCAAGAAAGAAGAATTACTTCGTTTCTTTAATGAGTTTCCCATTTTTAGAAAAGAGATATTTATAATTAATCCGCAACATGGATGATAGGTATTATTTCTTTTTAGTAAAAAAAAAAAGCTAGGCATATAATCTTGCATATATAGAATGTCAATCCATCAAAATAATAAATATCGTAGACATTTCATTATTGCATTAATCTGAAGATGATGACATCGTGCACGTTTCTATGTTCGTAATATATATCTTCGATTCGCATTTCTCTATTTATTCGCCAGCCAATTCCCAATCGCCACTTTCTTTCTTTTGCGAACAAGAGAAGAACCGTCGTAAAATACCAGAGAAGGACCATATCAGTCCGCGATACATATTTGATCGAACGACCACTACGAGAGGGAAGGAAGGGGATGGGTGGAGTTTTGATGAAGTGCTAGTGGCACCCGGGCCGTACACACGGGGAACAATACTAGACGTCTCGACGATGGTGAGCTGATATTTATTGCACTCGTGGGACATCGCTGGTATAACTAAACCCTGATATAACTAAATTCGCGTTTATGACTCCGCAACGACGGTAGTTTCTATCTTTCTTAAAGAAGAAACACCTTTAACTGCAAACTCCATTGTGGTGAGGCGCCTAAAAGTTTCGCGGCGAAATAAAAAATATTCATTCATTCATGGCGCTATCAAATCCTGAATATTAGAAGAAAAATCTGGATACTAGTCTATTCCGAAATCGATACTCGTGAAATAGGTAAATAATGTTATGGTTTGACTAGATTAAATTAATGTAAGAATTCTGTGAAGAATTCAGATAATAAAATACTCGGATAAATAAAGAAAACGTTAACTTTAATTATATTGAAATATTTTTGAATTCGTCTTGAAAAAGTTTACATAAGTCGGTAGAGTATCTATAACATTCACAAAAATAAAGGATACATATACGTTTATGAAACTTGTGATATAATTTGTAAATTAAGCGATAGGAATTTAAGGATTTCGAGGACGAACAAAATTTTAAACTAACCCTTCGGAGAATTCTTTGTCGTGCATTCGTTACATTTTATAATACTCGCGGGCACAAGAGCAACTTTATGACAAATAAAAGTCTTCATAGGGAAGATGAAATTGCGATGCGTGGAGTGAAAAGTTACATGATGGCTTTTGTGTGTGCAAAACGCGTGCCGTACAATTTTTACGCATGGCGTTTTACACCTGTACACCTCTTACCATAAACGCTTTTACGCCATCAGCGATGATACTGATGATGCGAAAAGAAAAGTGATAAAAAAGTGGTGCGTGTTCAAAATTGTTGATAACTCGACTCAAAAATAAAACCTAATCTCTAATAATAAATGAGCATGAAACTTAATGCACACAGATATTTATAGATACTATTTACAATATTTTATCATTCTCGAGATATAAATACCGTTATATTAATGCAATTGAATCGCGGGGGAGGAATGCATATTTTAATATGGAAAAGATAACGCGTGACTCTACAGCAAGATTCGCAATCTGTATTCCTCCCCCGCTACTCGATCGAATCGGAATTGCGGATCTCAATGCGAAGTAACAGACGCGTGACTGGCATGTATCACTGACCTTGGTCCTGCACGCGTGGAAATCACCGGCGATGTTCCTGAGATTGGCACCCACGCTCGTCCATGACTGCCTCTCGTTGAGGATCAGGCCGAGGTGGCAGCGGCAGGTGGTACCGTTGCAGTTACTCACCTCGGTCGGGCCCGTCTCCATGACGGAGCTCTCCGAGGCAAAACGTCTTCGTGGTCGTGGCCTTGGGCTCGGCAACGGTGCACCGTTGCTGTTGACGTTACACTCAGGAAACTGGAAGGTCGCGTCTCTCATCGGGCTGCTAGGGACAGAAACTGTCACGTGGGGTGACGGCGGTGGCAGCTGATCCACAGCCGATTGCACCAGGTCTGGTAGCGGCAAATTCGACAAGTCTTCGATGTTGCCGGGTTGCAGCCAGATCACCAGAGGTTGCTGAGATCCAGAACCGGATCGACGCGGCGCTCGATCTATGGAACAAAAAAGAACTCTTTTCAAAATTCGTTCTTCAAAAATTTTTGTACTCTTTGAGTACGTGTGTACGAAAATAATCCCGAAACAGATTGGTATAACGTAGACGGAAGTCGAGAAGAAGCAATGATTGGATCGATCAACTCGTACGTCATAATTAAGAGATTCTTTTGTTTCGAATACATTTATCAGACAATGATGTCACGTAATAATTGAATTAACGATGACCGCGATTTTATAGCTACCGTCTGCCAACGAACGGTAATAACATTTCCCGCTCGTATCGCCACGCTTCATAACGACAATTGATTACACGCAAATTACATTACACAATGGCAAATCGTCAGTGACCGGAGTATGCTGAGACGGTTACTTCGCATATAAGATTTAATGCCTAAGTGCACGCTGCAAGGTAACGTAATCCGAATATGGCAAAAATGACATTGTTAGGTAATGATCGTTTTAAAATTTATATCGGGTGATCCAACAGCCTTCTCTTTATAGTTTCGCACATTACTAAAGAATACTCTTGGACACGTATAACTTCTATTTGGATATCGTAAGAATTTATGACATTCGCTCCAATTTCTCGGATAAACGATTAAAAATATTTTTATTTATATTTCGAAATAAAGATAAAAAAATAAATTTCTTTAATTAGAATATAAATCTGTATCAGAATTATATACATGTGAGTATTTACAGTTTCTTTGGCTGAAGATCACGTCTCTTAAATTATTGCGCATAAGATTTCGTAGACCGATCGTGATACAACGACATTGACAATCGTAGATATTGATAGGCGTCAGGCCTTGGAATCAACTGTTCCAAGCTCGACAAACATATACGTCAGTATCTACGCTTGGAAAACGTGCGTTATCACGCGCCACAGCAGACTGCCTGTCTCCTGTCTGGATATGTATGCGCGTTTTTATCTACCGCGGCTACGATTTCGTAGAACATTGCAGTCCTTCAACGATAAAGTCTTGACGCGCTGTCTCCCGCTACCAAGTGACACGCTTTCCATTGCGCTTATGTCGTCGCTTGTTTGACGTTCAAATATTTATATATATATATA